GCAGGCAGATCTCCAGCACCAAGACTCACACTCACCAGGAGTCGCGAGTCGCGGGCTCACATGCTGATTCGCAGCTGCCATCACCACCGATTCGAAAGTCGATCCCTTGAAAGGTTCAGCGAGCTCGAGACGCCCGGCAAAGATCGCCGCTGGCTGCTTGCCCACTCTCTGCATCATGTCGTCCTTCCAGATCCTCACAGCCGGAGGGGGCCACGTCTCGACGGCTACGACGCCGCTGCGTCAGCTGCGAGCTCTTCTGCCCAGCACAACCACAAATGAGACGCTTTGTGCGCTCATAGATGCTCTGCAATCCACAGACTTGCTGAGCAAATGCTTCGAGCACGAAGCTGCCAAGTGGGATCCCAACTCTGCCCCGACTCCTGCCTCTGCTTCGAGCTCAATCTCCTTGGACTCGGTCCTGACCAGACTGGCAACTATCACCTCTTCTGCTCTCAATGCTCCTGCTCACGCATCGTACGGTGCCAGACTTGCTATCCTGCAACTGTCTTGCGATCCGAACTCCCGAGCATCGGAGTGGGGTACGAGCACCCTGAATGCGCTCCTGTCCTATGGCGAAGCAGCGTCAAAGGAGGAAATTCGTCCGGGCCGGGGTAGTGAGAATGCCAAGCTGGCCGGTCTGTCCCATCATGGTGTTGGCGAGCTGCTGCAGGCGGCATGGGTCATCTTTGGCGAGCCTGCGAAAGCGGAGAGCAGACCCGAGTATAGAAGAACAGTTGTCAGTCCTAATCTTAGCCGTTTGGCAACGGCAATCACGCTGCTCATCGAGGCCGCTGCCAAGGGTCATTCGTTTGCGGTGAGTTAGGATCTGCTCCACCTTTGGGCGCATACATGCTGCCCGGTCCGGACCATTGCCATTGACAATCGATCTGCTCGTCACTCTCCGAGCAGCTGTCCGTATTACCCCACGTCGTTTTGAACATCAGGCTGCATCCATCCATCTATCGACCTTTCAGTCCTCGGCTACACGCCGCGCTCACCAAGCTAGTCTACGAGAAAGCCCCAAGCGCATCCTCGAATGGTCATCCGCAAGCCGTGCAGGCTCTCATTTCCCTGCATTGGACCGGACATACGACGGGTGGGGGCACAAGCCAGGTTGAAAAGGCAGGCAGCTCGGCTGCAAATTTGTGGAGCGCTACGATTCATCCCGCCATCTCGGCTGCTCGAGTCTCGTGGCAAGCCATCTCCAACACCTTTGCGCCTTCTGCGGCGAAGTTAAAAGGGCGGAATGCTAGCGCTCGCAGCTCCGAAAGTGGCATTCTACCAACCTTGCCAAAGGATCCACACGAGGCTTTGCCAATCGCACTAGAGAGATTGGAGTCGATGCTTGGCTCTGCCGATCGGAGCGGGATCCTAAGCCTCATGCTCTGCGCTTCGACAGCTACTGTAGTGCCTCTTCCGCTCCACGAGCTGCTCGATACGATCATCATCCCGATTCTTTCGCTACCCTCTGCTCCCGAGGCAGCGCCGTCAACCGACGCTTCGTTGCAGGCTCTCCAGACAGTAGCGCTTCCAAGAGCTCAGCGAAGCGCCTTGCAGTGTCTAGCAGTCTTAGCTCTTACAGTACCTCGAGCCGGTCTGGCATCTGCCAAGAACCTCTGGAGGTTGGTCGATGCTCTGTCCGACTTGGTAAGCAACAAAGACACGCCTTCAACTTCGCGATGCTCGGCAAGCAGAGCGCTCGCTCTACTGCTCTGCTCCAAAGTCAGCTCCGACGAGGGTTCCATACCGGGCGCAGATTTGGCTCGAATGATAGACCCTGCCGATCCTTTGCTTCTGCGTGTTGCCACTGCTGCGCTGAGCAGAGTCAGCCAGTGGCTGTCTTATCCGCACACGGGCTCTTCTCCAGCTTCCACTCTCCACGGCTCTGGCTCCAACTCGAAGTCGGCCAGGAAGAGGCGCAAATACGAATCGGACGATGCGACTGGAAGTGTGCTGGTCGGATCAGCTGCGCAAGATGGACCTAGAAGTGGCAAGCTGAGATTGTTGAGGGAGGATGAACAGGCGACGTCGGTGGCGTGCTTGGACATTCTTTGCGCGCTTTCATCTCCACTCGACACGGATCTGACACCCGAGCATCGCAAGCTCTCACACGCCGCAGCGCAGGTCAACATCGCCCTTGGACTCCTTTCCCTCTCGACAGGCCACACATCCACCACAACTTCCATGGCGAGCGACGCAAATGCTCAGATTGCCACCGGAGCCCTGCGATACTTGCAGCACGTACTGAACGACGCATCATCGGCTTTATTGTCCTTGGCTCTGGCCCACGTGCCCAGCCTCGCTACCAGAGCGTTGCAGTACCCGCACGCAGAGGTCAGACTAGCAGCGACGGAGCTCTGCAAGGTACTGGAAACGGTCACCAACCCTAGACTGCCCCCAAGGCTCGCAAGAGCAGCGGACGAGAGACCAACGGAATGGGATGCGGATGCGGAGGTGGAGGACATACGCATGGTAGATGCCGACGAGGCCGCTCAGCACAGGATCGCTCTCGATGCGATTCGAAGCGTGGGATTGACCGACGATCCGACTCGAAGCTCCAGCTGGACTCCTCACGCTGTAAAGATCGAAGATGCGTCTCAACCTCCTGGGCGTGCGGCGCACACACAAGGTGAAGACTTGGTCGATGCACATTTCCCGCAGCAAATACCGTCTTCGTCGGCGATCTCGAGGACACTCTCGCAAGGTGCTCCGCACAGCAGCCCTCCGTTGTCCAAAGCAAAAGAGGATATTCTGGAGCCTGTCAAACCGCACACGCGAGCCCCTACGCCCACCATGGGTTCTCCCTCGCTGGTCAGCAATAGGCGCATTTCCATCTCTCCGGAAAGAGTGGCGAGCGCTTTGGGCAGTAGCAATGTCAGTGCGAGTGCGCAGATCTTTGCGACGAGTAGGAGTACTGCTGCTGCTGCTGCTGCCAGCAGGGAGAGAGATGCCTCGCCAGCGTCCCCCTTAGCCAAGAGTCGGAAGGATGTGCAGCTCGCATCATCGCAGACGGACGCGGACATGCTCAATGCCGAGATGTCTCGCACCGCCAGCAGTCATTCTCAGCATTCTCCGCAGCTTCTGGACCGCTCTGAACAGACGCGTTCACAGCAAGTGCTAAAAGGAGCGAGGGACAGCGATGATGATGATGAGGCTATGCCCACTTTGGACCTCAGATCTTCAGATGAGGAGAGCGAAGAAGAATGAAGCGAGCTGCACCGTGGCGTGCCGTGTCGCGCAGCGCCAACGTTGAGACGACTCTAGGCGTATGTACAAGTACACAGGGTCTAGCTCTGCCTTTTAAACAGTTGGATCGCTGCGCATCTCTTGCGTGTATCTGTCTCCATCGCGTCATCAGCTCGTGGGAGCCCTGCTTTGACAATCACAGTGCGATAACATGCAGACTGGCGCATTGCCTTTTGGATACATTTGTGCTGTGCCATTGTTCTTTCCCAACATGGCTGATTGGATTGCCCGAGCTTTGAGATTTGGCCTACGAGACGAAGGATTAGAGAGTGTGGTGCAGCGAGCAGTACGTGATCGGTACTCGTGACTGCAGAGCACGGCGTTCGTCACTGGTCAGTGAAGCGCCGGGCCGCGCCGCACAGCGCAGCGCAGCGCGTCAAAAATACAATTTGGAGTCGCTGCCCCCGACGCGTGATTGCGACTGCCGTCGATGAAGGTGGAGCGAGAGGGGAAGGAATCGGAATGAAATACGCAGCAAAGGCAGAACAGGTCTGTTTGGAGGGGACTTATAGATGACTTTTTTTTTTTTACAATTACATTAGTGAAGCGTCTTTCCGGATGAAGATGGGACGAGCGCAGAGGGGAGACGCGAGCGCGAGCGCGAGCGCAAGAGGATGGTCTTGGTTATGGCCATTATCGTGGGATTTTCTAGAAGTGAGAACCTGAGCGAGACGTCTTGTCGAGATCTAAAAAGAAAAAAGTTTGATGTGGAGCATTCTTCTCGGACCAATATGCTCAAGCGTCCTCAATTTGCACATCAACTCTCCTGATCGACACTCTCTTCTCCTGATTGACCAACCTTTCTCTTGCTGGCCCGCGTTTTCACATCTCCTCCTCTTGGCCCCTCGCACCATCCGCCTCAGGCGCAGCATCGATCAACTCATCCTCCGCATCCTCCTCCTCTTCGTACCCATTCAACAGCTCATCTTCCAACTCTCCATCCGCTTCGATCCTATCATAATGCTGCCTCTGCGCAGCCGACCTAGCCCTATGATTGTCCCTCAGTTGTCGAGACTGTTCGGCTGGAGTAAGGGGATCGGACTGTTCCACTTGTTCTACATCCTCTGACGCATGCGCATGCGCGTGCTCGGGATGATAGGGTCCGTTGGATGGGTCGTACGATGTCGGTGCGGGCGCGCCTTGTAGTGGGAAATGGACAGAGATGAGCCAGAGAAGATGTTCCATCTGTTCCGAATTTAGACGCTCCGATAATTCTTCCACCACCTGCGAACAAA